AAGCTGTGTTTTGAATATACAGGGCCAGACTACTCACCTACTGGGCTTTCGGAACGGTATGTAGTGTATCCGAATTACCCAAATATAATATACCCTGAAATGTAATATAGGCTGTAAATAAGCACTCACACAACAAAGAATATAATATGTGCAGTTTTCTGATCGCCTGAAACATACGCAAACCTTTTCACAAAAAGGTGTCTATTTCAGCTCATAACATAACATCTTAATTTCATTTCGTGTAGAAAAATAAAAAAAAGCAAGATACATTATAGAAGCCGGAAGCGCGCAAGGCATGCGACGAGAATAGTCCCCCTTGATAAAGATTTTTTTAAATTACTTTCGCTTCGGAAGAGAGAGAACACGGAGTCCTGAATCGCCGTTAGCGCCAACAAAATACGCGTGGCAGAAATTTTTCTTTGTTATATAGGCTTGCTTCGTTAGGCGCTGCCCTATGTGTGCGTTTTTTTTTTTCAAATTGTGTGTGTTTTGTTGTTAGCAGCGTAATATATTCAGTCAAACTAGATTTGAGAGTCGATTTAAGACCCCTGTGTAGCAGTTTCACGCATCGCAGTTTGGCCGAGATAACGCGCACTCTGCCCTCTTTAGTCTTTACTTTTTTTAATAAAGTAGAGACTTTTTAATAAAGTGAAGACAGTGTGCGCTTCTATTCTCGCTAATTAGAATGCGTTTGCCTAGCGCTCTAGGCTAAATTGGCACTGCGTGGTGAGTTAATGCATTAGGGTCGAACTCACTCTCAGCTCATTAGGCAGCGAAAGCTTAATTCGAGAAGACAGCAAACTATCGTCAGCTCTTAAATCTCAAAAATCATTTGCACTTCAATATACGCCTACACTTCTAGTTGATTTATGAACGAAATTACATCATATAAACAGAGCGTTGGTGACTTTTAAATGTCTGTGTTCTAGTAGCGAAGTGTATATATCTATTGCTTACGTCTTTGTTCGATATACCCTGCATTGATAGCAATAAAAGCTATTCTGGGCTAAGATATCAATCGTGTGGAACTGAGAAAATGATCCAGTCTCTACATCTAGAAGAATGTTTGCAAGAAATTAGACAGCTTGGTGTAGATGTCCGGCAATGGGCAAGTGAAACATTTTAACAAGATGCAGTGTTTACACAAGAAGGTCAACGAGTATCGACTGCAGCTTTGCTCCGAATTTGAAATTTTTTACCACTCGTACGCACGAGCGACAATCAAGCATTCTTTAGAATTGACGATGATACAAAAAGAAACAATGTAATGAAGCTTGCGTTTGTTGAGTTATACCACAACAGACACTCGGTGAGCGTAAACATGACCGCCACGGCCTTATTCAGCTGTCTTTGCCGGCTCCTAGAGCTACTAAGTGCGTGGCTAACTCAGCTGCCGGTTGGCAAACGTATATACTTAAGATGTTTAGACAAACGCAACACTCCTCCTATGATGGGACCATGAAGGACTGGACCTCCGGTCCAGGCCATCAAGACCCTTTCTATGTCCAAAGATTACATTGTTACTCTATTATGCCCTATTACGCGTACACCTATTATGCCCATTTCCTCGTTATGCCTTCAGTTCACCTTATTAAAAGTGAAGCGTTTTTTTTGGCGTACTGCAAGCACTTTTGGTATCTATCTATCTATCTATCCATCTATTATCTATCTATCTATCTATCTATCTATGCGCTTACGTCTGCGTGCTCTCATGATCACCCCTTCGCTTAAGGTACGCCAAAATTAGTACGGGAGGTCGTTAGGCGAATACGACGCGCTGGTCATGACTTAAATACTGTCATAATCTCGTCGCTTACGTCATCAAACACTTCCGAAAAACAGTGACACACACCTGGGGGCGGGAACGTGCCGCGGCATGCAGGTATGTGCCACAGGTGATAAAAATTTTACATCTACCCAGGAACGGCGAGAACACACACTGGTATTGAGCGTTAAGTAACTGCTGACATAGGCAGCGTTGACCGGATGAATGCCACGAATCAATCCCAGTTTCCCAGCAGGAATCGAACCCTAGCATTCTGCGTTGCAATCAAGTACTCTACCGTAGAGCCATGCCAGGTCTCAGAAATACTTCTCGTAGCCAATCGAGAGATTGGAACGTTTGCCAAGCTGTTCGACAGGAAAGCATGTTTCTCGGTGACTGCTTACACCTAATGTACGTCAAACGGGAATTCTGTTGCAGTGCTGGTTCACATTTTTTATAACAGTTACATATGTAATCCTGTGATACATTCGTCATGCCAGATTAACATCAAATGTAGTTAGGTGCCATCCGCTGATGTTGATTTGTGAAGCATTGTCGAAGGCTACCATCCTCTTGTGCCCCAGAGCTAACACCAGCGCTTCATATCAGCTTATCGCTTCTGGTGTTGCTAATATGTGTTGCTGTCGGCATCACTTCATAACTGGAAACAAGTGCAATTATAAAACATATGCGGCTCTTGAACGTATGTGTGTGCGTTGATTTGCATATATGTTGAGCACCACTTCATCATGTCTCACTCGATAAAAAATTAAACGCCATTCACCGTGCATCCACATGCTTCGTATGACATCGACACCCAAGCTATGTGGAATCTGACAAAATGTTTTATATCTACTTTGCATAACGTTGCAAAGGAACTTTAAACGCTTAGCTGCCTGGTGGCGCTGCGGTAATCGCGAGTTTTCAGAGTAAACGCTCACAAGGACAGCTTGACAAAGTGAACGACGTTGCTTGCGCTAAATATATAGTACACGGTACGACAGCTCCAAGTGTGAAAGTTCAAGTTTTCTGTGCGTGCTCACAAGCTCACAAGCTCACAAGCGAGAATTTGACAGGGTGTTCATCCAGCGTCCGGCAGTTGAATCTTTCGCTCCCACTTCGCAACGGGTTGTATTCCCGTCGGGGATAAGGAGGCATTTCTTTTAGGTTGAGACCAGGCTAAGCTTCTCGGTATGATAAGACACTGATGCGCATGAGCCCTGTCGGTGAAGCAGTTGCACTTCCGTCCCCACTGGCCATGCCGACGATTTAAAAAAAGAAAACATACCTTGCTGTGGGGACACTATACTGGCGTCTGTGCAACATTCTTTCGGCCTTCACGTGGTACTAAACCAGTTTTCGGCTCGGAGCCGAACTCGGCCAAACGTATCGGTGGATGGCAACGGTGGGATGACGGACCCCAGGGAACTCTTCAGCAGCAGACTTTGATGTTGCGGTGTCGTGTGGCAAGTGTTATAATTTCCTTGCAGAGCCACGACACTGGAAAGCTGACTGGAGGGAGATTTTGTCATGGTCACATGCAGCATTTGGTCACAATATCGTTTACGAAAGGTAGGTTTGTCGGTTGTACACTATAAGCAAAAAGAAGGAGCATGTGTTACCCTTCTCAATTTTCTCGGAGGCTCCCGGCTCGCCTGCTGTATGACTCTCGTTAACTCTCTTTTGGGTGCTCCTACTCTCCGAGGAGAGTAATCTCCAAATAGAGTTAACGCGTCTCTCTAAAGAAAGTCATGTACGTGACAAGCCAGAACGCTGAAAAAGAGCCCAATGACTTGTTTATTGACGTTCTTGCTGTTCTGAGAAAGCAGCAGTAGAGGTCTCTTGGGAAACCTTTTTTTTTTAACTCTCCCTGATACGTTACCTACAAGTGAATGTTTCTCGCATGCTCCCGAATCAGTGAAACTGGAGGCAGTTCATATATTCACGGCAGGCTTGTAGAATGACAGTCGCAGCGTATGTACTTACCAGCAGCAAATAAACCAACCGCTTCCATCTAGCCGTGGGCGGAATGCACTGCGGCATGCCTGCCGTAGCTGTTATACGATCTGCAGTACGGAGTCTCCCGTTTCCTGATTTCTCATTCTTCGCTTTTTTTTTCTTACAGAATACACAAATCTCTTTTCCCGAACGCTTCGTGAACGTAGGGCGAGCGTACAAATGGCTCGGCAAGCTGCCTGCACCAACGTCGTAATAAATTCATACGAGCACTTACGATGCCACCGCGAATGCACCCGTGCTTCAGACGAAGGTGTACTAGGCGTGTTGTGCAAAAAACAAAGACAGCGAGAGAGCTTTTATTCAGCCTTCTCGTAGCCCATCGAGAGATTGGAACGTTTGCCAAGCTACTCGGCAGGAGAGCTGAGAGTCACGTACTAGCGGGAATTGCCGGAGTAGAAAGCCAACGACGTTTCTTTGACGCACAACGGCACTCTGAGTGTTCCCGTAGAGTAAGCGCACATAAATCCGCAAGGTTCTCGAAGGTGGAATCAACAGTTCGGAACGAGCGGCAACTCCTGCAGTAAACACTATAGGCCACCCCCACGCACTCGGCTACTCGGAGCTGGTACGAGTTGATTTCGTCCTGCTAGCCACGGGATGACTTACCGCGTAGTGGTACCGCGTAAGCGTACTTGCGTAAGTGTAAGTGCCTTAAGGTAATTTACAGCAGCTTCTATGATGACCGCTGCGCCAGCCAACGCTGAGGCTATGCCTTATGGTTCGCGCGGGCTGGCGTACTCTTAAAATACATGGTTTCAATGCGGCTACTTTATTTAACACTGAGGAAGAGTGAATATGGTCTGATTAACACGTGACCACGAGCAAATATATTATAAGGAATATTATTTTACATAAGCAGGCTTTTCGAGCAGAAATCTTGTACATGCGCTCAGAATTAACGCTATGTGGTAAATATTAAGCGTCAAACATTGCAGAGAAACGTGATCCTATGAAAGTTCGCGATAAACCATTGAAAACACGTCATTATGGTACATATAGAACACCACTTGTGCGTCTCCATATGGATTGATCAGGGACCTAGTTACACATAAGGGAAAAGAAACGGGGTCACAATTACATTTGTTCACCGAAAGTACGGCGGCAGTAACAGTATTGTTCATGTTGGTGTCTACGCATGCAGTAGGTCTGTGCTTTGTACCCGTCAACACGGCTTATATCATGTACCTTGATTGCATTGCCTGCACACTACACTTACTATGCTTTCTAAGACGACGTTGCCAGGTGACAGTATGAGGTCGACCAAGTAATGAGTCGAGTTTCTTGCGATATCAGCTGTCGTCGACTGAAGCAACGTGACGTCGATAATTCGGAGCAGTCGGTACTTAGCACACTTTCTCGTCTCCCGCGCTAAGAGCTCGTTGATGTCAGAAACAACACGATTCGCCATAGCCCATGCAAGAGTATATGGTACGGCAGCATCGACTTGGACATTGCACGAACACCACTTAGGCTTAATGGACGCGTCGACACACGTCCTCTGCTCGGGTATCTCGCTAAGCAGGCTAAGTCCATACGCAGTACGTGGTCGCTTGCGGACGGGATAGTCGAGCAGATCGACGAACGTCGCGTGCAAGTCGAAGGGCGTCGTTAGTCGGTGCTGGTTGACTCGAAGGCTCCGAGCTGCCTCGGGATTCTCCTGTAGGAACCACGGCGGAAAGACGAGAAAGGCGAAAGGCTGAATGTCTTCGATCCTCCCAAGGTACGTCGCGCGAATGTCTCCTTTCCGCATTCCGTGGTCGCTGAAGAAGGCCAGCACTGTGTGGTTGAGTGCACCGGAAGCGTGCAGAGCCCCGAGAAGTCGTCGGAAGGGCTCCTCTGCGTACGCTGCGTCGTTGAGCGATTCGTGTGTTAAGTCGACGAACCAGGCAAAAGCGAAAAACGGCCGCTTCGACATTACTTTCACGAAGTTGGCAAGATAATCAAGAAGTTGTTGGGTCTCTGTTGTGGATCCCAAGCAGCTTAGACCATCGTCTGCGGGCTTGCCTAGCTCTTCCATGAGTGTGACGGCGTGTCGCGGGTAGTAGTCGGTTTGTTGGCGCCGAAATCCATTTCTCGAGAGCCAAGTAAACAAACTCAGATGTACCCATTCTTCGAACATCATGGTCCGGTAGCCGCGCAATGAATACTGATGAAAAACTAACCTTGAACTCAGCTTGTCGTAGAAACCGAACTCATTGGCCTGGTCCGCTTCGAACTCCTTAAGACCTGCGAGACACGCAACTCCATTTGGATATGTGTTCTCCCCAACTTTGTTGTATCCATGAAGTTCGAAAGCGCTTAGTTTCTCTCGCACAAACTTCGCTGTCTCCGGTAGGTGCCTGTCGAAGTTCAAGTACGAAACCGAGTCGAGACCGAGCATTATAACGCTGAGGTTGTGCGGCGTGCGTCTGCGCACCCTCCGGCATCGCTTCTCCACGTTCTTTTTGAGGAGCGGATTCAACAGAAACTGCCTATGAAATGGAATCTCCGGAGACTTCTTTCTAGCGCATTCGACGAGGACAAACTCCTCTTTCAACGGCTTTTCGAACAACAACCTCTTTCTTCTTCCCTTCGTGTAATGTTTATCTGGTACATTTATGGATTCGTTACGATAGATTTCGTTGTAGAAGCAGACGAAGTCCTCCGGAAGCACGCCATGATGTTCCAGCGCCCACGCAAGAACGAATGGGAAGCCATTTCTGAAATATACAATTGCGCATGCAAAAAAAGAACGTTAATACAATGGTGAAGGTACAAAGTGATGAACACTTTTTGAAAAAAAAATGGCGGATCCCATGTACAGTGGGAATCAATGATATGCGAAACACGAATGAGGAAGGTTGATATGTAACTTTACAGTAGGTGAACAAGAACAAGAACAAGAACAAAATCAGCACAGCGTTACGAGGCGGAGGTAAGTTATGCCATAGATGACTTCAATGTCATGATTATTATGTTTGGACGTGTCATTCACCTTCGTCATCTGTTCACTTCACCTGATACCGAATTTGGTACATGTGGAGCTAGCGAAACGACCACGAGCTCATGCTATTAGCGTAGCATGTAGTCAAGTTTTATATCGCACGCATGCCATGATTATTGTGTTTGGACGTGTAATTTACCTATGTCGCCCATTCGCGTCCCGTACTACCAAATTTGGTACATGTGAAGCCAGCGAAACGGCCGTGAGCTCACATTGACCGTAGCATGTAGTTACGTTGTTACGTGAGACGCATCTCACGCTTATCATCTTTGCACCAGTATCATACCTTTGTCATCCATTCACATCCCGTGATGCCGAATATGGTATAAGTGAAGCTAGAGAAACGGCTGCCTGCGCATCATGAGCGTGGCATGTAGTCATGTTGTTACATGACACGCATCTCATGATTATCATGATTGCACCACTCATATACCTTCGTCATTCATTCACGTACCGTAATACCAAACTTGGTATATGTGACGCTAGCGAAACGACCGCAAGCGCATCATGAGCGTGGCATGTAGTCATGTTGTTACATGACACGCATGTCCTGATTTTCATGTTAGCGTCTGTCACTTGCGTTCGCCATGCAATCATGTAATATCATACCAGTGTTTCAACATGCCGTGTGAACGAAACCACCGCAAAAGCTGTAGGGCCATGAAATCTTAATCATGACATTTATGACATCCGTGTTATGGTTTTAATGTTATGACTAGTAAAATAGGTTCTTCGTACAATCATGTAATGCCATACCAAGTTTGGTATCGATACCATTATCGAAACAGCCAGGAGAGCTAAAAGTCGTAGGCGGCTAGATAGATAGATAGATAGATAGATAGATAGATAGATAGATAGATAGATGGATAGATGGATAGATAGATAGATAGATAGATAGATAGATAGATAGATAGATAGATAGATAGATAGATAGATAGATAGATAGATAGATAGATAAGCGTAAAGTCACCGAAGTTCGCTCAGAAATGCTTCGCATGTAAAAATGTATCTCCAGCAAACTAAAGCATCCATTCGGAGCAAGTAAGCTACAGAGCGCACGATGGCCACTTGATAGATTCGGGGTTGAAGGCAACCGCTTTCAGAAGCGCGACCATGATCTCCGGGCGTGCGTATGGGTGGTTCACGCGTGATATTCTAGTACACGCAAGGTATTTTGCGTGTATCGAGATGCTCTGCAGAAGGCGAGAGACGAGGTGGTGCGGATGTCTAATACGGAATTCGCTAACCGTCCCAGAGAGATTCTACTCGTACTCAACAAGCCGTACAGCCGCGGCCACGTCTAGCGCGTGAGCCGCCGGTTTTCGCTAACGTGCCTCCATGCGCGCGCCCCCGCTCACAGTGCGGCCATTCTTTGAAAGGGCCGACGCAGCCTGTTAAGTTTGGCCTGGAAATTCGTCTGGTCAGACGCCTTTGTGCGTAAGCCGATCCACTGGGGCGGCTCTCAATCCCTTCGGCGCCCAGTCTGACAGACGCTGTCGAAGATTTGAGCAATTATCCAGACCAAGCAGCAAGCAAGGGCGAGTTCCCGTGCTTCAAATGCGGACCCTTTTGTCGTCCCTTCAAGCAGCATGCCTGATGACCTCGGTGATTCATCTGGTGACGGGGAAGCTGTTGTGACCAGAGCCAGAGCTGACAGGAGAGCGGCGCTCCTTTTTAATCCCCAATCACCAAGCCGACCGGCCGACTGCCTATGCTCGTCAGGCATTGTACGTGCTAGCCGGAGGACGAGACGTCGTGTCGCCAAGATGCCGTTAACCGTTCGAGAGAGGCCAACAAAGACAGCAACTTCCTGGAAGAGACCGCGGCGGCCACCGCAAAACACCCCGCTAATGAAGCGAACAAATTGACGGACCCTTTGAAGTATGCTGCCAAGATCGTGGGAACTCTCGACTAGCGGCACACACACGACGAGGAAGAGCCCTGCTGGCGCCACCTTGCAGTGCAGTGTTCACGACTGGACGTTCACGTGGACCGTGCATGCTCGTCCCCCTCACCTGTTGTGTGTGTGTGATTGGTGTTCCACTCGGAGAGGAGGAGCCCGACAGGGCTTAAAACGACGCCGCAGAGTGCTGGACGTCGCTCTGAACTATGTAACGTTCAACCACCACGCTCGTGGTTTGTGAAACCACTAACCTTTCTTTTCTTTAAATATGTGTAAATAATGTCATAAACCATGTTTTGTTTTTCGATCCATCAGCGTCCTTCCTTCCGACCTCTAACAACTGGTGGCAGCGGTGGGATGCCATCATCAGCGAACGACCTTCCTTTCCATCTCCTAACAACTGGTGGCAGCGGTGGGATGCCACCATCAGCGACCTTCCTTCCCATCTCTTACAACTGGTGGCAGCGGTGGGATGCCATCATCAGCTACTTCATCCAGCGTCCTTCCTTTCGACCCTTAACAACTGGTGGCAGCGGTGGGATGCCATCATCAGCGACCTTCCTTCCCATATCTTACAAGCCCCAACGTTGACGCCACTTCGCTTCGCGTGTCCGTTACTTTATGGACCACACCGCGCTTCGTTTAAACGTGCGCGTGACGGCTGCCACCTTGTCGCCCGTCTGATTCATAGCGAGTCCCGCAAGAGATCATCGGATTCCGCGTGCAACAATGCACGAATCATTCTAGGAGTGAATGGGAGCTGTTTTCTTTCCCAAGCGATGCTAAAAGAAGACATTATTGATAGTGAGAAAAAAGTGGGGCAAGTGGCAGCCGACCACAGAGAGATGTGATTCTTAAGTGAAAAGAAAATAAAGGGAGCCCCGTAACTGCCTGCATCAGAGTGCGACACCTCAACAGTAGCTCACTAGGGATGGGGGTAAGGAGGGATTAAAAGGATAGGATTAAAAGATATGGAGATAAAGAGAGGAAGAAGAAGAGAGCGTGGCGCAGGGACAGCGACACCCAGAGAGAAGGAGAAGATAGGAAAGGTGGACACGGTCGCAGGAGTCCGAGGATGGGGCACCACTCAGCGAGAGCTCTTGTCGGCGGCAGGAGACTGCGTAGGGCGAGCCAGTTGGCCAGAGCTGCACTGTCGTCGGAAATCGCGGGGGCACAACCGGTCGGCACGAAATCCAGAGAGCGAGTTGCAGCCGACCAATGACTCTTGAGTACGTGTATGTAACGTGAGTATTGCAAACTCTGTTGCTGTTTCTTATCACATTTACTTTGCTACGTCGGATGCTTGTGGGACGATTTTTTAAACGGTGTGTATATTACTAGTAACGCAGTCACAGATTAGACTATTTCAAGTTATGTGCGTGGTTTTGACTTCGTTTTGATGCCCGCATGTTGAGCAAACTGGTAATGCAAAATAGTTTTGTAGCTTTTGCACCGTTCTCATAAATTTGGTTATGCTTTAAGTGTGTGCTTGGAAACGTAATTTGCATATTCATAGGTATATATAAGCCAATTTAACAGGTGTATGAACGTCATTGCTGCATGTGCACGTGTGACCTAATGGCGGAGTTAGCAGGTATAAAGCCAGAACTTGCCTGAGGGAGCATGCAGTTAGGAATGGGACGAGAATGCCGGGAAAAGTAGTGCTCCGATATATTCCATAAAAGTTTATTTTCACTCTATATCTAATGTAACCGCCAAATCTGCGAACGCTGTCTTAGACATGTTTATATTTCGTTAATTAGTTGGCTTCACTAAATGCCTTGTGCGCGTCTCACTGTCTGTCGAACTTCAAGAATTTCAGCTTTAATATTTTCATACGTACATAAAAGCATATGTTCTGCACCCTAATGGTAGGTGCATATCATAGCACAGCTTTCCGTTTCGACCCATCGGGAATGATACCTTTCCATTACTGTTTTCTAATACGCAGTGTTCCGCATCTCTAACTTGCCTGAATACCGATAGCCTATCTTGCCTTAAAGAAAAACGCACACGAAAATATACACCTGCAAAGTATAAAAGTCAATAGTGATGTCTACAGTCTTCAGTGACTGAAAGAAGCTGTGAACCAATCGCCATAAGCCAGCAGCCTAGTGGACGCTCTGCCAGTGAGGGTCATTATGGTCTGCAACACTTTAAGGCACGAAACATTCGATTACGTGTGATGCGTGCCTACTAACTCATAACATATGTGAATTTATTTTGCATTCGTGAAGATAAGTCCAGTACAAAGTGACTTTACTCGAGAGCAGAAGGCTGCGATGCCACATGCACTGAGGAGTTGGCCAAGTAATGGCGACCGCTGTATCGGACGACGCACTTGTCTCAACCCTGAACAGAACGGAGGCGAACGAGTGCATTGAAGCACTTCCATTTTCGCTCCGCGGGGCGACACCTTGATGCAGTTTCGGACTCTGTCTTGGTCAGCCTGACTGCTAGGCCACGCATGCTCCTGACACACCTTGTCAGAGCCCGACGCAAGCTGCCTCAAAGTTTCGCCCCGCAGAGTGAAAACCAGCTGCTCGCGCGCTCTACGCAGACGGGGCTGCGGCTGTTTACATTATAGATACAAACATCGGTGGATCGACGGATTGGTTAACGAGACAGTGGACACTCTTAGATTGTGCGAGCGAGGAGTAAACGATGAGTTCCCAAAACGGCCGTGGGTATAGTTTGGCGTGCCCACAACGGGAAAGCTCACTCGACATCCTTCGAGATGAATGGTGAACGTGGCGATACGATCTCCACTGGACTTCGAGTGGGTACGTTAACCTTCGATCGCAAGACGGGCG